TGAAGTTCATACAGGTAGCTTGTAGCAGAACAAGGATTTGAACCTGGGTCCAGGGTGACTTCTGTGCTCTTCTTCCGGCTGCCATAAACCCCTCCCTCCAGGCTGGTTCCTTCTGTAGACCACCTCTAGGGCACTCACCGCTGGCCACCAGCTCAAGGCCCTAAACATTCCGAGCAGTGGATTCCATGGCTTTTGGGCAGGACAGTTAGCCCTCTAAAACCTTGTTTTCAAGAATTGCAGAAGGATCTCTTGGAGATTGTGGTCCCCATTGACAATGTGGACCAGTAAACAATGTAAAAATTTGTTTACCTTCCCGTTGAAAGAGGCATTCCTTTCCTATCCAACAAGTTTTGTTAAGAAACGAAAATATAGGCCAACAAGGATTAAGTGATAAATAATTGTCTGGCAGAACAATGGAGCAATCCATGACTTCAAGGGCTGGAATCCACACCAGCCTGGGGAGCTGGGGCTTGGCAGGAGAGCCTGTTAACCAGGGAAGTCTGAGCTGGAACCAGAGGGAAGGGCGGGGAAGGGGAGGGAAATGAAGGTGCTGGAGCCGGCCCAGGAGTGTGGCAAACTGGGAAACTGGCGGAGGGGGTCTGCTGTGTCCTTTGCATCATCCCAGCCCCATCACCAAACCCATGTCCTCTTTTTGCCCAGAACCCCCATTGCACCCCAGAACGGAACTCTGGACCGATTTAATCCCATCTCCCCTACACCCACCCCTGCTCCAACTTCATATCAACCAAAATTCCTCATCAATGTTCGGGTGTCAATGGTTGGCAGGATTTGAATGGGTTGCCTTTCCCAGGAGTGTATGCATTTTAAATAGGGGCACTGGAGTCTCTGGTTCAGCCTTCTGCTGTCTTGCAGTAAAAGTGGAGGGGTTGGATGGGGTGGGATAGAATAAGACAGAAGATACTGAGAAACGGAGGGTCATTGACCAACCGATCTCAGGCTGGGGAAAAATTGAGAAAGGCTTGGAGTTCTGGGGAGGAACAAAGTCTCATTCAGTCTCTCCATAGCCTCCACACCTCCAGAGATAGGATTTTCGTCCTGTTTTGTAGATGTGGAAACTGAGGCCCGCAGTGCCAAGTCCAGAGGTAGAGCTGGGCCCAAAAGCCAGGAGTCCTATTCCGCCCCCCCACCCAACCCCTGCTCTGAGGAACCAGATGGAAGGGGCCAGGAACTAGGGCAGGGCATGTGGGTTTGAGGGGAAGGGAGGCCCCCAGCCCACCCCAGCAAGCTCTGGTAGAGTGACCCTGCAAGCTATGGCAGGCGGACCTCCAGCACCTCAGGAGCTGTCGGTCAGCCCAGGGAGGGGGCTGGGTCTGGAGCCAGTGATTCTCAGTCCCGTGAAATATAAATGACTCACGCTGGGTGGCTCCGCATGCCGGCCCAGCCCACATTCCCGGGCCTTTGTTCCCGGCCCGCCAGGGCTCGGCCTTAAAGGGCCAGCTCCTGGAGGCAGGAGAGAGGACCAATCAGACTGCCAGTCCACCTGCCACCCCCACCTTCCTCTGGGCTGTGGGCAAAAAGGGTGGCATCCTGTGGGACTTGGGGGTTCATCCAATAGAATTCTCACGCAGTAAGGAAGAGCCCTCACGTCATTTCAGCTAGCCCTCTGCCTCAGGGCAGGGCTGCACCTAAACTGGCCCAAAAGGATTAAGAAAACCGTTTCCCTCCCTTTCAAAAGCAACTTCTTCCGTGGTCTCACAACCTCTTCTCTTCTAACCACAATCACCTCATGCTGCAGGTTGTACAGGAGGTCCCTTCCCCCCACCCTCCTGGCACTATCTCAGTACTGGTTTATCGTTGAACTCTCATTTGACACACATTTGCTGGGTTTTAGGTTGGCCTATCCAGACCTGTGAACCAGCCCCTCTGTCCTGGGCCTCCAAGAGGTCCAGGTTTCATACCAATCCAGTCCTGTCAGTGGATTGATTCCTCAGGAGAGAAATACCATCGAGCCACCAGGGCAGCCCAAGTCACTTCTTTGGACCCTGCGCGCCACCGTGTGGAGTTCTGGAGAACTGGTGCCTTCCGGAGCTTGGGCGGTGGGGGAGGGGCGCGCTGCAGAGCACGCACCACCACCATACACAACTCTGAAAAAGCGTCCTCAGTTATGACGCAATCCTGAATTGGCAAAAATCAAAATAAAAGAAGGCCCTAAATTAGAGAGGAAAAGATGAGACTCTAAAATCAATTTAACAACAAAAGCCTATCAGCTCTAAAAAAAACTGAACAAATCGCAATATTTTCTGTTGAGGCTTGGGGACATCACTGTGTCCCCCAAGTACCTACTCCCCTCATCCGCTCTTTGGTAGATGCTCAAAGCACATCACTAGATGTTTGGATTTAAGGTTTTGTCCACCGTTAATATGCAATTTTCAGAGGAAATGTTCTTTCCCTTGAAGTTTTTATAGTAATTTCACAGTTTATCAGACCTTGAACTGAGAGCTGGGTTTAGAAGGAGGAGGAAGTGTAAAGTTCGTAGCTGCTGTGCAAACTGAAGGGTGGGATTGGGACAGGAGGCGTGGTCAAGCCAAGTGGGGAACTGGGGCCAGGGAAGCCCGATTCCTTGGGCGGAAGCACTTTGAATTGTGGAGAGGGCTGGGTCTGCTCCATAGATTCTCACCTAATATGTCCTTTGAACCCAGGACAAGCCATTACCAAACAGCCAGGACCACAGGTTATAGCTTTGGGGGTCTTTGGGGGCTATTGGCCTTGGCATCCCTGGCACTAACCAACTAGGCCAGCTGGTCCCAAACAAGCCCAGCATCCAGAACCCTCTGAGACCAGCCCCATCCATCCATCCATCTACTCAGCAGATACCCCATTGTGGTCATCTGCTGAGGTAGCCTCCCTATCCCAGGCTGTAACATCTCTCAAAAGTCCTTCCTTCCTCTCCTTTCTCACCACCACTCTAGTTCAGTTCCTTGTCACCCTGGTCCTAAATCAATACTATAACCTTCAGACAGGTCTCCCTGTTTCTGGGCCCTTCTGGACCAATCCATCCCAATCACCACTCCTAAATCAATCTTCCTAAAATGTACCCAAGTTCTCTCTAGTGGCTACAAATTGCCTGCAGCACCCAGTCTGAATTTCTTGGCTTAAACCAGAGATCCAAACCATATACCCTGCACTGTGACTCCATCTTTTGGAGTTAGTTACTTCTTGAGAATAAGAGCTTTGTTTTATGTATTTTCCTCTTTTTTTATTTTTGTATTATTATTATTACAAAAGTTTATTCTTAATTGTACAACAGGCTCCAAGACAACACTTCATTCTAGCTATAGGTGGCAACAGATGTGACGGCTGGAATCAAGATGTTAAAATAGGAATGGAATTAGGGATCACCATAGCCCCAAGCACAAGGAACAGTGCGGGAGACCGGCTCCCACAAGTCCAGGGGTTCCCTTAGGTGGAGACGGAGTCGGGGAGGAAAGAACGTGGAGACAGAGAAGCGCTTTTCAAGAATTAATGTCTCACTTTATTTTTACAGCCTGTCTTTTTTATACTGGGCAGGTAACTATTTACGTCATTGAGCTGTTTTTCCCAAAGTTGTTTTTCCACGTTTAAACCTTTACCCATTAGGAAATTGTTTTCTACATAGTTTCAATGTTCCTTCCTTCCCAGGGTCCATTTTCTTTAGAAGTTTGCTTTTCACCGAATTTTACTTCCTCACGATGTTTCTTTTGCAGGGTACAGCCGGATCTGTTCTTCACTAATGACTAACTTATCCTAACTATGTATCAATTTCTTCCACTAATGGCCAGAGCTGAGTTCCTGCCTTGGCACTTAAAGGAAATTATAAGGTGCATAACTTGTCTATCACTAAGAATCTATCATTAAGAAACTAACAGTAAAACAGAATTATCGTAATATGTCCAAAACTCACTTATTTAAAGAAAATAAAACAATCAATATAAGAAGGGGTGTCAGATCTTTATCCTACTGGGGGCATCCAAAGGGGAATTAAAATTTTTCAAAACATAAAGCAGTATCTGTTTCTCAGCCAGAGCTTCAGAATTTGTCACAATAGCAGTGTGATAGGCATGTCAGATACTGAGGTGCAGCCGGCTCCCAACAGAACAGCTCACTTTTTGCCAGATTTCTTAATTCCACCTGTGGCCAGGGGGCCCTTCCCAGAGACCTTCCCTTTTAGCTCCTCGAGTTTCTTCTACTCCTCCTTTTGCTTCTGCTTGAATGCCTCATTTCCTCATCCATCTCCTTGGCTGCTTCTTGGGTTGCTTCAGGGGCTTCTTGCAACCTTCTGGCTGGACATGGTGCCTGCCACCCCTTCCCCAGACCCTGCCTTATTTTATATTTCAAAATTAAATGAAATGTAAATTATATGTCAATAAATCCTGCCAGAAAATAAAAAACAAATCAAGAGCTTTAAACTACTATGCACTGCTGTGTGTATACACATGTGTGTTCTGATTTTGGCCTCTGTTTGACAGCCAGCAATTGTGCCTGAGCTGGGCTGAGGCTCCGGTGCTCCTGGCTGAGAGGCTCGGTGTGATCTGAACTGAGCTCTTGATCCATTTGCGAAGCTGTGCACCCTGCCTTGGGGCCACATCATTCTGAGAGGAGGTGCCTTTCCTATTCTCCCCAAGCCTCTGCGCCCCTGCTATTCTCTTCTGCAATGCTTTCCTCTCAGAGGAAAGCAGAGTGGCCCGAGGAAGGCCAGGCCTGGCCCAGGTGAAATAGCAAACAAAATGAGGAAGGTACATTTACAAGCAGCTGAGAATCCTCCCCCTTTTCTTCAGGTCAATGTGTGAAGGTGTGAGTGAAAGAATACCCTGTGAAATATAAATTACAACATAACATCACTGCAGAGTTCTTTCAGGCATAAACAACGGAGAAGGGTTTTTACCTGCCCTCAGTTTCCCACCTGGTTAGGAGAGAGCTTTAAAACCTCTCTCCCCTTTCCAGTCCCTCAACTGCTTTCTGTCTAGAGCCTCCCAGGTAAGCCAGTGCTTTCTCCCTCACAGCCTGAGAACCCCAACCCCAGGAGGAACCTGCCCATCAACCTGAACCATTATGCCACCAAGAAGAGCGTGGCAGAGAGCATGCTGGACATGGCTCTCTTCATGTCCAATGCCATGCGGCTGAAAGCGGTGCTGGAGCAGGGGCCGTCCTCGCAATACTACACCACCCTCATCACCCTCATCAGCATCTCTCTGCTCCTGCAGGTCGTCATTGGAATCCTCCTCGTGGTCATTGGTGAGCCCAGGCCTGGAGCTGGCTTCAGTGTACCCTAGTGGGAAAAAAAGCCCCAAGCGTGTCCCTGTGGGAGCCTGCACATGCACAACACACCAACTTCTCAACCATGCACTAACCCAGTGATAGCCCTACGCGCCTATAAATGCCCAGGCGATGCCTACACGGGGGGCCACAAGCACCCTGCCATACCTGTTGGTGTTCCATAAGTGGCCCCTCCATAACACCTGCTGATGACAGACCTCACTAACTTGTAGCAGAGTTCCTGTTGCCTTCTGTGTGAGCACACATCTCCACTCCTAGAAGACCCAGTTAAGTTCCCAAATCCTGATTCCATTAGCACCACTTGATGCCCCACCCACCGGTCAGTGAGGGAAAGGGGATCTAGTGCAGTGACGCCACTTCCCTTGATTTCTGTGCAATGGATCACTGAGGTGTCACAGACTCTCTCTGAACTCTAGTGGATGTTGTGAGGGCAGTTCCGGATGGTGGCCCCCACCTTGACCCTTACCTCTCTCACTCCCACTTCTCCGCAGCACGGCTGAACCTCAATGAGGTAGAGAAGCAGTGGCGACTAAACCAGCTCAACAATGCTGCCACCACCTTGGTCTTCATCACCGTTGTCATCAATGTCTTTATTACAGCCTTCGGGGCACATAAGGCAGGGTTCCTGGCTGCCAGGACCTCAAGGAATCCTCTGTGAACTCAGCTTTGGACCCAGGTGAGGGAGGATGGGAGGCTCCAGGTCCAAAGCCTCCCCAGGTGGCCCTTTTCTCACCTCTCGAGGTTTGGAGTAAGAGAGAAATCCTTGCCAAACAAAGGGGGAAGGTAGATCTGGGGCAGAGAAAGAATCTTGGAGAAGAGCTTGGGTGGGGACTCAGAAAGGCTTCTCCTTCAGTTTTTCCATAGCCTGAGATGTGTGGGAGGCAATGTGGCTAATGGTTGGCTCTGCCTACCCAGCAAGAGGAAAGATGAAAATATGGGATTTCTCCATGGCATTGTCCAGCAGTCCTTGCTACTCAAACTGTGGTCCACGAACCAGCAGCAACAAAAGCACCTGGAAACTTGCTGGAAATGCAGAATGCCGAGCCCCACTCTAGATCTGAGTCAGCACCTGCATTTTTTTTTTTTTAAGATTTTATTGGGGAATTGGAGAACAGCGTTGGGGAATCTGGGAAGGGGAACAGACAAGTTGCTGTCCTTTTGTTCTTCAGTCTAGTTGTGGAGGACGTCACTTCACTGGCCCATGTTGCACTCTTCTCGGGTGAGGCAGATCAGTCGCCGGCCACTGGACGGCTGCTCACGCCGGCTGCCAGCCACTCACGGTAGCTTATGGCAGCCCACTGCAGCCTCACTGGTGCCTGCGTGTTCACCGGCGACTCATGGCAGCCCAGCTCCAGGTCTAGCTGTTGTCACTATCTTAGCTGTAGAGGGCACGGCATCACTGGCCCTAACCGGGGCCCTGCCGCTCAGAGCTGGCGTCCCAAGCCAGCTCTTAACCAGTGCACCACTCAGCTGGCCTCGGCACCTGCATTTTGAGAAGTCTGCCAAGAGGGTCATGTAGACACATTCAAGTCAGAGCCCTGCCCTCACCCTCTTCTCTGCTCAACAGGTACGGGGTCTGGAGCTGCTTCAGCCTCTTTCCTCCCTGCTCTGCCAAGCTGACAAGCCCTTTCCACAGCCCCTGGGAGAGCTCCTGAAAGGGTAGTGTAGATGCCTGCTTCCTACCCACAGCACTTGAAGATGGGATGTTGTACAGGTCTACGTGAATTCCGTCTTGACCTGGAGTCCTGAGCTCACACTGGGGTAGTGCCAACCTTTCCTTCTGGTAGCTTCTCCTGCACCTAGTGTCTATTTAAGGCCAAGTCCACCCAGCTTAAGGACTCTGGTTCTGACTACCCCATTCCCTTCCTTTGCCCCACCCATCCCCTCTGCTCCAGGCCTGTGTTCCCTTTCTGTAAAATGGAATGATTTCTATCTATAAAGATTTCTGCAAATCTACTGAGAGTCAATATTTATGTCTTTAGTTGCCATTTCCATCTGTATCATGGAAAGAGCTCAAAGGAGCAAATCCCACGCCTGGAGGGAGAAAAGGCTTTTATATCACTCCCTCTCCTGTGGGTCCTGCTCTGAGTCAACTTTCCTGGCCCCACATGCCTTGGGCTAATTACCATGTGCTACATGAATGGCAGATCAGTCAATTCGAGACTGGTGCCTGTATGCATAATCCTTGTTGAGATTCTATAAACCTATTCTAGCTTTCATATTAGCACCTTCTCTTAGGCATGTGTTTAAGGAATAAACTAATTTTGTTCTTGGCCTAGACCAAATATAACTGCGAAGGTCATGTTACACCTCTAAAGCATCAACGGGGCATCCCCAGCTCAAACAGAAAGAATTTTCACATTGTCTGCTATTTTAGAATAAGCCACACCTTGGCTCCTCTCCACTGCTCACCAAAACCATCTTGGCCCTGTATCTAGCCTAATTCATCCTGGGTGTCCATTAGCCTTTCTCCACTGAAACCACCTATCTCCATTAATCTGCCAAACAGAAAATGCCTGGTTTATCAGATTGTGAGCTCCTCATACAGGAACAATGTGGTCCCTTCCTGAAGAAACCACAGCTGAGAAGGATGTCCCCCACACAGCAAGCATCAAACTAAAGGGTGAAGAGTGGTATGCAAGGGTCCTTGGCTTGTCCATCAGAGGCCAGACAGCCAAATGGACACATGAACCCTGGGGCCCTCATCCCAACCCTCTCCCATCATGATGGAAAACAGGAAGACACAAGAGCCATTCTGTTTTCTAAAAAGATGCTGTATTTAACACTTTCCCTCCCCCCATCCCACTCCCACCCCCTACCCTAAACAATGCCCTACAGAGTAGGGGCCCTTGCCAGGTCCTCCCACTTAAGGCAGATGGTGTGGAGGTAACAAATATCAAACGCAAGGCACTGGCCAGGGGCAGAGGGGCTGGTGGGCAGGGTCGGCCTGGGCTGGCTCTTGTTATCAGAAGTGGAGCAGGAGGGCTGTTGGGGCTGGCTCTGGCCTCCCAGTGAATGCCCAAGGATGAGCCAGCCCCAGGAAGAAACCTTGCACCAAGAAAGCTGGCCAAATGCAGCCCTTTCCCAAAGGCAGTAAGCCTGAGCAGGGACCCTAAAAAGCCACAGCCCAGGGGGCAGGTATGGTGTCCATAAGCCACAATGTATTCATTGGAAAGTCTTTGTCCTTTCTGATTTCTTAAGAGGGAGAGTAGAATCCTCTTCCAACTCAAGGGTTCTCAGTAGGCTCCATTTTCCCCTATAAAGTTCATGTTCTTGGTGAAGGCAAGGCCCACCAGGTGGACCCTGCAAGCTCCAAATGCTGTGCCTCGGGCTGGCATCCATGGAGCTTGGGCAAGCTGGCTGACCTCCTGGGCCCTGCTGTACTCCTCCTAAGCCTTCCTCACAGCAGGAAGCCCTGCGCTCGCCTCCCTAAACAGACACTGGAGTTCAGGACACAGCATCCAGTGCACCAGCAGCAGCAGTAGAGGCAGCAGCAGCAGCAGTAGAAAAATCCCCAGCCTCAAAGGCACCTGGGGACTGTTAGTGCAAGATTAAGTGTGTGAACATCAGGTGATGGAAAGGGTGGCCAGACTACCAAAGCCAAGAGCTATTTTCCCTGAACCGGCTTCGCTTTTCAGTTCCTCCTGGCCCCTGCTCCCTTCCACTTGAGGAAGAGATCTCAGATAAATGACCTCACCTTCCTAAACCTGCCCCCCTGTGGCTTCCTACCCTGGTCACTATTTCACCCATACCACTTCCTCTGCTTCCACTCCAGGCTGTGTGTGCCTGGGGCTCTCCCTGCAGGAGGGCAAGTGGGGGGGGAGGGCGCTGGGCTGCGAGGATGCAAGCTTTCCACTTCTTTTAATCCCCTCCTGCTGGACCCCCACACCCTCCTCTCATCTAAGTGGATGGATTACTTACACCTACATCCTCTTCCCTCTGCAAGGCCTGAGTTCACAGGTGGGCTGGGAGGAAAAGGGGCTACTCTTCCCTGCCTCCTTCACCTTGCCTGTTCCGCATGACCTATGTGTCAAACACGGGTCAGGGGACAAGCCTGCCACCCACCACTTCCCTGTCTCCCAACCTCGCAGTGGCACCAGGAAGATGACGCCAGTTCTGTGCTTCTGATGGGTCTGAAGTTAGAGCAGCCTGGAGGGTAAGGTTAATGCCCTAATCGATGGCCAGCTGTTCGGTGGCTACCTGGGAGAGATGTGCATGTCTCTAGAAGGCATGAGCCTGGGGCAGAGCAGAGAACTGCTCCACTTCGGGCCAGCTCCTCTGGTTATAAATCAGCTGCCAAGGTCAAGGACTGAGGGACATGCCTCTATACAGGAGTGGGTCTGAGGTATGCAAGTAGGGACACTCCCTAAATGCACGACTCCATCCCTCTCACAGTCAATGCTGGGTCTGGACAGTTACAGTTTTGGTATTCTGATAAAAAAACAAACAAACAATAAAAACCCCAATAAAACATGTCCAATAGAAGACTTCCCAGTTCTTGGTCACTGCTCCTGCAAGGAGCCCCGGGTAGGTGCTGGCATGCACCTCTCGGATTAGGATGGATTAGATGGCATTGCTCAAGCAGGTCTTCCCCTCCTGGACCTAACTATGCCGCCCTTCCCAGGAGCTGTTCTATCTCGGTCACCTGTGAGCAGCAGCCTCCCTTGGCTCCCCTTCCCAAAGTCCTCCCTCTGGGGTTCCAGAGGATGGAGAGAGGGGCCTTGGCAGCTGTCTCAACGTGAAGGGGCAGCTCCCGGTGCAGTGGGGGTGTTAGTCTGAGGCCTCTCGGGGCCCAGCCATAGCTTCTGCTCCCCTCCCTTCACCTCCCCCAGCAGTGAGCAGGGTGCTGGGGGAAGCAGCTGCAAGTCAGGGGGCAGGAAGTGGTCAGTCCAGCGAGACACCCCTCGGGATCATGGCATCTTCATCTGGCGGCGGTTCCACATGCCTCGTTTGGAATGGAAGTGATGGAAGAAATTCCTGAGGGAGAGACGTTCCACTTCCAGGCCTGCTTGGAGGATCCTGAGTGGGAGAGGGGCAGGATGAGTCACAGAAGCACAGGAGGCAGCTGGGAAGAGGCCCCGGCCTCCGAGGAACCCGCCCTTCCACATCTCATCAGACCCTGTCCCTGTCTTGCTCTGTTCAGCCCCCACAGGGCAGGGGGAAAGGTGTAGTGCAGGGTGTGGGCTCTGGAGCCAGACAGCCTGGGTTCGAATCCCAGCTCCATACCGTGTAAGTCACGTCATCTCTCAGAACCTCAGTTTGCTCATCTCTAGAAAGAGGGTAATAATGATATATTGGGTTGTTGGAAAAGTCATGATGTATTTTTGCAATGAAAAACATAGAATATGTCATGACTTTTCCGACAACCCAATATATATATAAAACCCCTGGAGGATGGTGGCAAGGACTGGAGTGGGCAAACACAGTACAGCACAGTTCCTGGCACTCAGCCTGCAGGGGACACTTTACAGTGTTTGATGGAGGCAGAGGGCTGGAGCAGACCTTGTCCCCAGCCTACCCTGTCCCCTTTCAATGACAATATGCACAACTCACTGAGAGTCCCTCTCACAGAGAGGCCTGTACTTCAGGCAGGGAGGAAGTCGCTGGAAATTGGAGCAGTTTCTTTCTGTTTAGGCCTCAGAGGAGGCAGGAGGGTTGAGAAGTGTACTGGAGGTCTGTATCTTCCCAGCACAGCAGGAAGATCAGGGATGGAGGTGACAATAGCCCAGGCTTTGTTTGTATACTTTGGGATCTACTTGGACCTGGCTTTATAAGAGCTGAGTTACCTCAAATAAGCTCCCTCAACCTCCTTCCTTTGCACCTTAAATTATCTTAATATTGTCATCTTCCTTTCCTTTCTTCCTTCCAGGGGAAAAACATAAACAGATCTGGTTTTTAAGCCTCTGACACTTGCTAGTTATGAGATTTGGAGCAATTTATTAATTCTCGAGACTCAGCTTTCTCATCTGGAAAATGGGTATAACCACACCTGTCTCACAGAGACTGGGAGGAATAAATGAGGGGATGGATATGAATCACCTACCAGCACAGGCACCCAGTGATTGCTGGCTGTATCTTGCCCTGTCTCTCCGGAAACAGTGTATCTCTGCCTTGTCAAGGTCCCCACTGCCAGGTACTCCTGACCTTGGAGTCTACCTCCCCTGGACACTGTTCCAGCGATTATACACTCTACCCTTCCTTTTTTGGATTGCCCCCCCACCCCCTTCTCTTTGTCACTGCCCTGTAAGCTCAACTCTCAAGGTATCATCCTCTTTCCCTGCCCCCTTCTCTTAGCAGCAAATGTCTTGAAAGGAATCCCACACTAACACAGCATCCACTTCCTCACCACCCGTGATACACAATCCCCTACAACCTGGCCCAGCCGTTCCCTGCTCTGGCACCCTTGCTCTGATCACCTGCCAAGCCCAGCAGCTTGCCCTGGGTTCTCCCTCTGCTTCTCTGAGGCATTTCCTGCCAGTGACTTTTTCTTCCTCCCCGAAACTCCCTTCTCCCCAGGCTTCCAGGGACTCAGAACCTCCTTTAATGGTCCATACGGTCTCTTTTCCTGGCTCCAAAGTCCTTCCAGACCCTCTGCCTACCCCTGTCATCCATCCCACAACCCTAGCCTCCTCCCCTAGGCAGCTGTGGAGCGGGAAAGCCAACCTGGGAGAATGCGGCCCTGTGCTTCCTCGCCCTGCTGGCTGCTGAGAACATGATCATTTATTTACATTTGTACAGAGTAAGATTTTGCTTTTCCCGACACTTTATCAAGCACCGTCCGTGCCAGCCATGTGACACAGACAGAGGCCGTGTCCTCCACTCTAACAGACATAGAAACAGAGGTCCAGCGAGGGAAGGAACTGGACCCCAGTGAGTGGTGGCGCTTCCTGTGATTCCTGTGCTCTCTACCTGGCAGGGAATCTGCAGCCTGGGCTGCTCTCACCTGTTCCCTCCCCGGAGTGCCTGATGGATGGAATCCCAGCAGCTCCCTCAGGCGCCCTCCTTTCCCAGTCACCTGTCCAGCAGCTCCCAGTCTTCCCCGCCCCAGCGGTCTCGGAATTCCTTGGTATTCATGCCCCCGATCCTGTCCAGGTCTGACTTGTAGATGCCAAGCAGTCCGAATCCGTTCACCTCCCAGTAGCCTATGGACAGACAAGAAGTTCCGGGTGAGGCGAGACAGGGACCAGGAGGGAGGAATATAAAGAAGGCATCCAGGCTGCATTCCTAGAGCCTTTTCTGAAAGACAGAGGATGGGGTGCCTGCGGCCAAAAACTGGCTCATCTGGACACGTCCCCTGTCTGTTTGTGGAGGGAATTCCCCTGAGCTAAGGTTCAGGATTCATTGAAAGCAACAGTCCTCCCAAGGAGTGACCAAAGGCTGCTGACAGACTGACGACAGGATTCGATACCAGTGGCCCCTAAAGGCATAGCCGAGTGTCGCTTTCCTTGTCCATCTCTGTCTCCAAAGGTAGGGGGCCCATCTTCCCATCTTTGTATCCTCCTAGGGCAGAGTCAAAGGCAGGGTTTGTTCATCCCTGCTGTGGTGGTGGCTGTTGGCACAGCCCTCGGGGCATTTCTCCGTACTGTCCAGAGGAGCAGGAGAGCAGGGTGGGGAGGGAGATGCAGCAGTGGTAGACAGGACCGTTTCCAGCCCTAACAGCCAAGGCCAGAGAGGTCTTTCCTCCCCTCCCTAGCCCAGGGCAGGGCTCACCCT